AACGAAAATTACATATTCCAACAAAAATTCTCATAATAATAAATCGTTGAAAAAAAAAATATAGTTGAAATCATTAAATTCTAACTAGAATTCCAAATATGTTTACCCCAATATTAGTATTGCTTGGATTGGAATATTCCAACAACAACTGAAAATTTGGATTTTTATTAAAATATGACTTATATAATCTATTACTATATAATAAGGAGAAGAAAAACTATTTGAAAAACTTTGAAAAAAATATTTCATTTCCCGCTTCTTTAGTCATTCTTTCCCGCTTCTGTTTTTCGTTTTGAACAATTTTCAGCAAATATTTTTGAAATTTTTTGCATGTCCCGCTTAAACAATTTATTAACCAATAAATCACATCCAATGTTTGGCAAGTAAATCACATCCAATTATATATTATTTTAGACTCATTTCATTTCGTTGGGGGAGAAAAAAAAAAGAGTCCTTAGATTTTCAAAAGAAAAAGAAAATAAATTATTTGATTATTAATCAAAATAAGTAATTAAAAATTATGAAATTATGTGACCTAAGTAATATGTACTTAATATAAACATAAAATCAAATATTGAATATTTAATATCATGAATGATATAAATTTAAATTTACTACTAAATAATATTTTTTTTTTCACGTTAATGTCAACAAATTATTTGATTCAAACAATTTATCATTAAATATCTAATAATCAACAAATCGTGAAATCCCGTGGCATAGCACGCTACAAAAATATGACATCTATTAATATATAAAAAGACAATGATATTTAATTGAAATAGTAACTAAAAATCAATTAAAAAATATTTGGTTTTCCCGCCTAAAAATTCAGAATTACTAAATTGGGCAATTCTTTTTTCTAGCCAAAGTTTGAAAAATCCTGCCTAAGTTAATGTAATTAATGTACAAAATTATTTTGGTCAAATATTGCGGCTATTACCTTTATTTGTTGAATAATTTAAATGTGAAATATAATATATTGACAAAACTTACAACTATTACCTTTATTAGTTGCATAGTTTAAATTTGGTATATAATATATAAAAAAATAAAAATATTTTTATTTAAAATTAAAAATAAAATAAAAAACAATTATTCATAACTTACGGGTCAATATGAACTTGGACGTGAATGAAATAGTCAATTATTTATAGTTCAATAAATTACTCAACTACTTAATTTTTTTTTTATTTGAATAGTTTATACAAAAATAAATTATTTTAAGTAATGAAACAATATAAATTTTATATTTATAATTATTATTCACATATGTTGTTAAATATATGATAAAATTTTACCAAAATAATTGTTTTATGTAATCACATTATAGTCAAATCGAATTTCTGAATAAAAAATTTGAAATGACACTTATTTTGAAACGAATATAATGTAATTTATTATCAGTTATATGTATCCATGGGTTGTGTACTAATTTTAAATAGACATTTTTATGTAATTTTTCACAATTTAAACTTTATATAATATTTTCAACAAATTAATATATGTATTTGATTATATATTTTAATTTACAAATATTATTTAATAAAAAACTTTTAATTTATAAATATTAATGAATATCTCTTACCCGTGCAATGCACGGGACTCATACTAGTATGTAATATGTTACATATTTTAGTAAAATGCACCAACCGAAAATACTGGTCACGAAGTTTATAACCCCCGAGAAAACCGCGCTGACCACTGGTCACCATTTTATAGTTATAAAAGCCACTCAACTTTAGACATTCAATTCAAAGGAAAACAAAAAAGGTTACAGTCATAATAACAAAAATAATAAAAAAAAAATAGTCAAAAAATGGCTCCATCAGGAATCATACCCTTAACGGCCCTGTCCGAACAAAATTATCTCGAGCCCAATTTCATAAGGGACGTGGACGAGCGGCCCAAGGTGGCCCACGACCAATTTAGCGATGAAATTCCGGTGATCTCTCTCGCCGGAGTAGATGGCGGCGACCGGGCGCAGATATGCCGGAAAATCATCTCCGCTTGCGAGGATTGGGGAATTTTCCAGGTTGTTGACCATGGGGTTGACCTGGAGTTAGTCGAGAGCATGAACCGTTTGGCTCGCGAGTTTTTCGACTTGCCGGCCGATGAGAAACTCCGGTTTGACATGTCGGGTGGGAAAAAGGGGGGTTTTATCGTCTCTAGCCATTTGCAGGTATTTTTGTTTTGTTTGTTTTTGTTGTTGTCGTTGTTGTTGTTACAAGTTTTTGGAAGACTGAATATATGTTATTAATAAGAGCAATAAAAAAAATAGGGTTTTTTTGTTTCAATTATGATAGAAAAGAAAAAAAAAAAAAGGTTGACCATAGGAAATAGGGTTTTTTCAATAAAAAAATAGGGTTTTTTCAATTCACAAGATCTTGCATGTTGTTGTGGTTGCATGATTATATGAGTGGGATTAACTATAGGAAAGTGTTGAAAACTTGAAATACATCGTTTTGTCTTATTTGGACATTACAAATATTTAATTATTGAGTTTTCGAGCATTAAACAACATACAAAATGATATGGATTTTGAGATTGAAGATTGTGAAGGATAAGAAGTGGGTGGATTTTGAAGAAAATTTGGATGAATGGCTTAGTTTCAATTGTTTGGGAAAGAAGGAGTTTGGGTTGGTTTTCTAAAATTTGACCATATTTGCAAAATATATTTTGTTTGATACATAGAATGTATAGCTGATTGAATTAGATGATAATGAATATCGGCTTAAATTAACAATTTTGAATATCTATTGAATTAGTTAATTATGCGAAAATATTTGATAATTAATTTATCATTTGATATGTAAATACATCTAATTGCAGTTTTCTATTTCAAAAAGCTACTCTAACGTTTCTTTTCAAATTTTTTATTCAATATTTTATTTCAAACTTGTACTCACTAAATGATAGCGGTTCTGGTGGATCAAATCTCTAATTTGCTCCAAAATATTGATGATTACTAAACATTGTCAAAATGATGATTACTAAACATTGTCAAATTCTAGCGGTTCTGGTAGACTAAGGAGTGACTGTGTTGTTCTTAAACATGTTATCTTTCTTGTGAAGGGATAATTGTTACCAAACTCTTTCTCATTCCTCCATTTTCTAAATATTAAATACAAAATTTTTGTGTATTTTTTTTATATAAAAATATGCATATTTTTATATAAGATGTCATACTATGAGAATTAACATAAACAAAAATTTGATAATATAAGCATGCATATTTGTTCAGATAGTATGATGAGTCCAACCAACCATACAGTTAGTTTTTTTTTTCGAACCAACCACACAGTTAGTTAGTCTCACACAAGAATTTATGTTCTATATGATAATGAGTCCCAAAATTAAGGGAGTTTGTTGCAAAGCATCCCTATTGAATGATATGTTGGTCCCAACAAAATTAATTTCTTCTTTTCAACCAATGCTCATAGAGACTACTAGAAACGATTTTCTAAAACTGAAACCTTATTTATTACCATAAAGTAAATTAATTTTGGAGTTGACATTTAAAATATATATATATTAGATGGCCCACTTTTGTCTTACTTTGTAGGGTGAAGTGGTAAAAGATTGGCGCGAGATAGTGACGTACTTCTCCTACCCAATAAAGGCCCGTGACTACACGAGATGGCCCGACAAGCCCGAGGCCTGGCGGGCCGTAACGGAGGCCTACAGTGAGCGTTTGATGGACCTGGGCTGCAAGTTGCTGGAGGTTCTGTCCGAAGGAATGGGCCTTAATAAGGACGCTTGGGCCCAAGCTTGCATTGAAATGGACCAGAAAGTGGTGGTCAATTTCTACCCCAAATGTCCACAGCCAGACCTCGCATTGGGCCTAAAAAGGCACACGGATCCAGGTACAATTACTCTACTGCTCCAAGATAAGGTGGGCGGGCTTCAGGCGACCCGTGATGGTGGCAAGACATGGATCACGGTCCAGCCCGTGGAGGGTGCTTTTGTGGTCAATCTTGGTGATCATGGTCATGTAAGTTCAAATTTCTTTTCTTTTTATTGCTCCACACAAAAAAATATATATTAAAATAAGTGTGTATATTATTAGCACAATTTTTTTTGTGAGACAGCTGAACAGTTAAGTTATTAAGTAGGTCGACCCATCATATTCTTTCAATAAAAATGTATACTTCAGTTTAAAAATATATGTATCTGTTAAAAAAGTTCGACCACCTAGACAAACAATGGTTTAGACTGTTTAGTGATATATTAGAATTTAAAAACCGATTGACGAATGAGTCAAAGTTACATCCCAAGTTAAACATTTGGACATAATCAATCACTTTAACATTGAAATAATCACATAAACTAATTTTTTAATAAGATTCTAATATGTGGTTATAATTAATATTTTTTCTTTTAAGTAGTATCTAAGTAATGGGAGGTTTAAGAACGCGGATCACCAAGTCGCAGTGAACTCGACCTGCAGCCGATTATCGGTGGCGACTTTCCAAAATCCGGCAGCCAATGCCAGTGTTTACCCTTTAAAAATCGAGGAAGGCGAGAAGCCGATAATGGATGAGCCAATCACGTTCGCGGAGATGTACAAGCGGAAGATGAACAAGGATCTCGAGATAGCTAGGCTCAAGAAAATGGCTAGGGAGAAGTTGTTGCAAGAGGAGGAGCTTGAGAAGGCAAAAGTTGAAGTTGAAGCTAAAGTTAAATCCAAAGGTCTTGAGGAAATTCTAGCTTAGTTCTTTTCTCACAATTGGAAAAGGGAGATACTTGAACTTGGTATTGGTAAGGAATTGTTTGTTGTAGATGCAATAATTTTTTGTTAATTTTTTCTTTGTTTCTTGAGACCAGTGTGAAGATATTGCACCATATCTTGAAGGATATGTAAGTCTGTGGTCCTTAAAATTATGTGAGCTTACAATGGTATGGTAAAATTATTTATTTTGTAATAAATTGTTTGGTGAGAAAATAGACAAAAGTGTGCAAAAGTTGTTGATTGTTTCATGTATGATGTATTGATGTATGGATAAAAAAACAAGAATTTACCTCTGTACAGTACTAGCACACAGTTTCTAAATTTTCTCAATTTAAGACACGATTTTTTTATTTTTTTTATAATTCGGTGATACGTTTTCTGGCATGGCTAACACGGAAATTAAAAAATAAAAAAAATAATAATTCTAACTGCAAAAAAAAATTGATTTTGTACAGATTTTAGTTCTATTTTTATAGAGTTTTATTATGGAACCAACTGTTGGCTCCATAATGAAGTCAACCTCTTATATATAGTATGTAAAAAATACCCTCTTAAAAAAAGACAATGAACAACTACTTGATAAGAAATATAACCATATTGAAAAGTAAAGTAATTATATTTTTATATTGAAATTGAAAAAATAAATACTATAAAATATTCATAATATTATTTAAAATCATTTAATAATTATTTGAATCATTTTAGTTAAACATTAGAATCAATAATAATATTTACACCTAAGTAGTTTATATAATCTGAAAAAATAGTACAAATCTTTTGTAGTATTTTTTTTTTAAGATTTAAATTTGAAAATATTATTTTTTACTTGCTATATATAGGAGGTTGGCTCCAACATGGAGTCAACTGTTGGCTCCATAGTAAAACTGATTTTGTATAAGTGGATTACTTAGAAAATTCACAACACCGTTTTAAGGTTATTGAGAAAATAAAAAAGCTTTTCATGGCGAACCAAGATGGGACGCCAAAAAATTCAAGGGATGTAGTTACGATGGTGACAAACCGGAGTACCTTGCAAAAATTACTATCTTCTGAAGAGGGGTAAAGGATAGTGCGAATTGTTGAGGACAAGATAAAACTTGTCAAAGCTCGCTCTTTCCGTCGTAGTTCGAGTACATGATGAAAATTCCACGTTTATAGCAGATAAGAACAAGAGCCACTTGACCCATATGCACTTATAAGCATTGTCCTATAACCCTAAATACGAAAGCAAGTATTTGTGGAATCCCTCGACTTTAAGTGTTGAAGGAATTGACAACATGGTGTGCTATGAATGAGTATTGCAGATCGCGGATGTCCTTCATACCCAATACATCCATAAGTATCTAGTTTCTCGACCATTTATTGAGTAAGGCCAGATTTATATTAGTTTATGATATTCGACAAATGTGTTATGTCGAAATATGATGTATTCTTAACAAAAGTATACCTTAGTAAATGTCATTTTACATTTATTGTAAAAATTGTAATCTATTGTTTGACGAGAATAAAAATAAATTGATCTTATTTATTGGGTGCTATATTTTATGGCATGACTCAGGGTCATGCTTTTTTCGGCCCTGACCCGGTGGGCTGGGCCGGCTCGGGAAATCAAAGGTAGATCCCTTATTTTCAATTTTTTTGGGGATGGGTCCAAGATCTAGTTCGGGTCAAGTCGTGTCGTGTACCCGGCCCGGGCCTAGGTAAGAGACCTGTCAGACTGGGCTGGGCCCGCCAAATGATCATGTTTGTGCTCAATAAATGGAGGCTTGAGGTATTTGTCGGATAGTACTCTCCAACGTTGCATTTTAGCGAATAAACTAAGAAGGTTCGCGAATAACTCGAGCGATGAATTTTGATCATTTTGAATCGAGGATTGGACATGAAAAACTCTGAGACTAAAAGAGACTACATGTTCACTTAGGTGGATAGTGTTGTGCTATGAAAATAATCTAAGTACAAAGCTAGATCCACAATGGAGTCTAAGTTTATTAATTTGGACAAAAGACGTGGAAGAAGTCCCTCCCACCGACGCCGTCTGCCACCGCGTGACCGCCGGCGACCCGCGACCTACGTGCGCTGCTCCCGGCCATCACACCCGACGTCTTCTCGAGTTCGACGAGAAGGATTCGGTTGCCCTATGAATTTTGAGTTCAGACGATTTCCTTCAACAGTAATCTAGAACGTCTCAGAGTCTGCGAATTTTAAGTCGTAAGTATTCAACTCTAAACTTCTAAATTCGTTGCGCACAGGTTTATTGTTGCTATTGAATTTGTGACTTGTACATAACGAGATCCTCACAAAATCTGGTGTATTTAATTTAAACTTTTTAAGACTTTAAAAAGTCTTAAAAAGTGTTGAGTATTCATTTGAGATTTTAAAAAGTCTTACAAAATTTTGAGGTATTTAATTTATTTAAGACTACGATTTGTCAAGACCTTTTATAATTTGTTGAGATTTCATAAGAAAATAAACATATATGAAATCTCACTCCAACTCTCACCTCCAAACTTAAGATTTAATTGGATTTCTCTAAATCTGAAAATTTTGAAAAATCTCAAATCTCAAAAACGTCTTAAAATATCACTCGAAATCCCAAATGAATATACCTCTTTAGAAATCTTCTAAAAGATATTCCTTGGGTGGATTAAATTGTGTTCATCGTGGTGATTATTTGTGATAATCAAATCAGCGATTGGAAGACCACAAAGTAGTTTGTACAATGATAAGTCTAAACATAGACAATTTCATAAAACAAGTTAGTTCGTGTGAGGTTATTGATTATGTGAAGTCAATGATAAACTTAATGGATCCGTTTATAAAAGCCATGAAATGATGAAACTAGATATATCTATCTATCTATCTATCTATACTATTAAAAAAGGACGAGTGATTTTGTAAAAATAATGATCTGCCTAAAGAACCCTTACTTTGACATATTTTTAATGGTAAATTAGTAATACAGTAATATCCATCTTATATTACATTTTTAATTAAAAAACGATCTATGGTAATAACAAATAAAGAACTTAATTATATAAGGATTAAAAAAAATTAAAGGCATACGTGATGTACTATACTAACCTTTATAAGAATTCTAATAGTTTCAAACTCTAATTATTTTAATTTAAATGTGTTTTAGTGAATCAAAACCATATCATGGAGTCATAGAACAACTTAGCATTGTGTCTAATGACGATATTTTTCAACTTATGCTAACATGAAACTCTTAAAAATAGATACCTGATTTTTCTTATATATATTAATCCATTTATTCATTTATAGTGGACTCTAATCATATCTTAATATATGATTAAAGAAAAAATAATTTCTATACACTCACGTAAAACATATTTCAAAAGATATAAATATACATTCAAAATAAACTAATATTATTTTAATTATTATTTGTTTTGGTTGTTAACATCTAAAATATTTACATAAAATAAGTGACAATAAATTCGTGATTTTGAAAATTATGACATATAATGAAATATTGTATGAGAATTGGATAAGAAAAAACTAAAATAATAAAGAAAAAATTAAATAATTGTTCATAATTTTAATTAGTATTTTAAGTATCATTCATTTTATTTATTAACATCTAAAATATTTCCTGCAATAATTAATTATAAATTCACTTTTTAATGGTAAAATTGTAACAAATATAAATTAAAAAAATAAAGGCATACTTGATCTACTATAACATAACATTTATAAAGAATTCTAATATTTTCGAACCCTAATTATTTTAATTAAATGTATTTTATTTGAATGAAACCCTACCCCGCCTCTCCCGAAACCCTACCCCCAATTTCTCGCCGAAAGTCGCCTCCCAAAATCTAGGCCGATTAGCCTTCTTCGGTGACGGCGGACCTCTGGCCAAAGGTCGTCCTTGGCCGCTCAACCCCCCTTGGACGAAGTGCATCTCCGATGTCGCTGTAGAAGGGCTGCAATGGAAGGTCTGGTTCGAGGTTATTGATGGCATTCCGGTTGATGGTGGTCTCCTGCAGGGTCGGTGTTTGGCTGGCGATGGGATTCTTCCCCTTAATCGTCGGTGGAGCTTCGATTTGTGAAGGTAAGCCCCTCAACTTTGCTCTGTCGGTAATCTTGGATTCCGCCTCTTTTGGTGGTGGGGCTTGGGCCTCCGGTTGGGTCCCTTATGGTGGTATTGGGCGGAGTGCGAGTCCTCGGAGGGGTAGAGCTCCGGTTGCTGCGGCTTCCTTAGTCGTGGTGGACGGGGTTGAGGGATAGACCCAACTTCACACTTCCCGTTCGGCTAGTGGTGTTAGGCGGCGGGGTAATTTGATCTCGTCTAGTGGTGTTAGACGGGTTCGGGTGGTTTGGTGTGAGGGATGGTTGGCTCTCTTTTCGATTGAGGACGGGTCGGTTTGGGATTGGTTCGGGCTCGATTTCTGCTACTTGTATAGGCGTTAGCGCAGTTTCGGTAGGGGATTCTCTGGCTATGAATCTTTCTTGAATTGATCGTTCACTGATGGTTGGAACCGCTTGTATGCCGAGGAAGGGCTTTGCTGCTTATTTTGTCGATTTTAATTTTTATTGTTTAGAGTGGTATGTGTTTGTGTTCGTTCTGTATTTGTGTTTTAGGTTTGGGCCGTTGGCCTCTGTGTTCCGAGGTGTCAAATTTATTACTCCGTTGGGGTCAGACACTTCGGTATTACTCCGTTGGGGTCTTTTTTAGTTATTTAGTTGTGTTAGTTTTTGTTAGTGTAGTTTCGAGTTTATCATTCTAGCGTTGCTAGACGGTTCTAGGCGATCGTAGGATCTGCCTCCCAGTTTTATAGNATTAATCCATTTTATTCATCTATGTGGACTCTAAGCATATATTAGTATATAATAAAAAAATAATTTCTATACACTCACATAAAACATACTTCAATATATATATATATATATATATATATTCCTAATAAACTATTATTATTTTAATTATTATTTATTTTGGTTTTCAACATCTAAAATATTTACCTAAAATAATTGACAATAAATTCGTGTTTTTGAAATTATGATAAATAATGAAATATTGTTTGAGAATTGGATAAGGAAAAAACTAAAATATTAAATAAAAATATAAATAATTGTGAACTATAATAATTTAATTAGTATTTTGAATATTATTTCTTTTATTTATTAACATATAAAATATTTCCTACGATAATTAATCATAAATTCATCTTTTTGTAAAATTTGATTAATTATGAAATATTGTAAAAGAGACTACGTGTTCACTTAGGTGGATAGTGTTGTGCTATGAAAATAATCTAAGTACAAAGCTAGATCCAAAATGGAGTCTAAGTTTATTAATTTGGACAAAAGGCGTGGAAGAAGTCGCTCCCACCGACGCCGTCTGCCACCGCGTGACCACCGGCGACCCGCGACCTACGTGCACTGCTCCCGGCCATCACACCCGACGTCTTCTCGAGTTCGACGAGAAGGATTCGGTTGCCCTACGAATTTTGAGTTCAGACGATTTCCTTCAACGGTAATCTAGAACGTCTCAGAGTCTGCGAATTTTAAGTCGTAAGTATTCAACTCTAAACTTCTAAATTCGTTGCGCATAGGTTTATTGTTGCTATTAAATTTGTGACTTGTACATAACGAGATCCTCACAAATTCTGGTGTATTTAATTTAAACTTTTTAAGACTTTAAAAAGTGTTGAGTATTCATTTGAGATTTTAAAAAGTCTTACAAAGTTTTGAGGTATTTAATTTATTTGAGACTACGATTTGTCAAGACCTTTTATGATTTGTTGAGATTTCAGAAGAAAATAAACATATATGAAATCTCACTCCAACTCTCACCTCCAAACTTAAGATTTAATTGGATTTCTCTAAATTTGAAAATCTTGAAAAATCTCAAATCTCAAAAACGTCTTTAAATATCACTCGAAATCCCAAATGAATACACCTCTTTAGAAATCTTCTAAAAGATATTCTTTGGGTGGATTAAATTGTGTTCATCGTGGTGATTATTTGTGATAATCAAATCAGCGATTGGAAGACCACAAAGTAGTTTGTACAATGATAAGTCTAAACATAGACGTTTGAAAACTAATTTCATAAAACAAGTTATCTCGTGTGAGGTTATTGATTATGTGAAGTCAATGATAAACTTAATGGATCCGTTTATAAAAGACATGAAATGATGAAACTAGATATATTGTACAAAATGATTAGAGAATGATTTTAGCAAAACTCCACAACAAACGAAGCCTCTATATAGATCTAAACCACGTGGACTGAAAGGACGACTGATGGTAAACCATGACGACAAGCAGTAGCAGGGCCAGCACCAGCCCCCACGGCCAGCCTCCGCCGTCCGCCGCCGTCGCCCGCCACCACAACCTCCGGCGGCCCAGCAGCATCACTATCACCGCCACAATCCCTGCCAGGGGCGACAGCACGAGTCCGAGCCTGAACTTCTCCATTCCTGCCTCCATCTTCTCTTTGAAATCAGAATAAGTTGCCAATAACATTAGCATTATAAAAAGCCCTGAAAACACCATTAATGGCAAAGGGGGTAAAGAAATTGAGTCTAGGGTTCGCTCTTTCCAGCTTAGGCCCCTTCTCTGTCTCATGAACAAAACCATTTTTTTTAATTTTTTTTTTTGAATTGTTAGGAGTTTTTGTGGGTTTATGTTTTTTGATAAATTATGATTTATGAGTAGTGTGTTATTGAGATAATTTATATGAGATTGTTGAAGAAAAAATTTATAGTGCTTTACAGCTTTAGAATAAGGTTCTGATTAGTTGGGCGCATTTTAGTGGAATATTGAAAGGGATCGACACGAGAAAGGGGAGTTTTGGATGGAAAAGTGAGAAGATAATTTATTCACACAGCAACTCATAAAAATATGTGTTAATATTGAGAATATTTATCGATGATTGTAGGGGGTATTTTCAATAATATAATCTATGATTAACTAGTAGATTGCTCGTGCGATGCACGAAAAAACAATATTAAAATTGTAACATAAATTAAGTATATAAATAACGTTAATCACAATTTACTTCACATTATTAAAAGTTATAATGAATATCATTTTGTTCACATAAATACTAATGAAATAATATATGAATGTTTATAAATTACTGAACGCGTTCTCATAAAATATTTTTATTTTGATTATTTGAACTACATTATATTTATCATAACAAAATATTCTTGATGCTGAAATTTGTATTTAGTTTTACTAATCGATTTGGTTTGGTCAAATTGACCCATAAATTGGTCACCCGTGATGCAACTAAGGTTGTGTCATGTTTTTTTACTATGTTACAAACTTACCCATATCGCACCCCTCTCTCAACTTCTTCAGAACCTAACTGATGTTGATCGCATGGTTGACCTCCAAAGTCTTCTCGAAGGCGGGGTCCTTCTCATTCTTAGCCTGCTCTCTCTCCGCCACTATTGTCGCCTTCTCTTCCTCTAAGTGGGTTGATCTTGCGACCTCGGCTTCAAGACCACGTTGAGCCTCCCCAAGGCGACGATTTAGTTAGTGATCACTTCCGTCAGCTTATTCAGTTCGGACATCTTGCCTTAAATACGGCTCTCGTATGTCGCCTTTACTTCGGCCGCCTTAGCCATGGGGCCATCCATCTGCCAAAGCAGATCAGCATTATCTTATAGCTCACGACATCGCCCATAGATCCGGTTCAGTGGCACCCACTCCAAATTCAGTCGCTCGGTCTCTATTAGACCGACTTCCTGCTTAGTCCGCAGCGTCTTGAAAAAATCCATCAAGGACGTGGTCTAATCCAACGTGTACGTTAGGGAGGTCATTGCCACCGCCATGTTTGTTTCGACACAAATGGGTTGTCCAACCCGTGGTGAAGCACGAAACTACAGCCGCCGATCTCGAAATCTTACTTCTCAACCCGCCGTTGTTGGGTCGCGAGGTAACACGCCCGTGACAATGCCCTCTTGTGGGGGGCACGCCCTATTCTCGGGTCGATCTATCCCCTCCCTCCGTTGACTATATTGGGGTTGACCTGAGTCACTTCCTAACCCCAGTACTGCATGTATTGCTTCAGCATGCAAGAGAGAGGGAAACGGAGACCGGACTCTATTGATTCCTTGAACGTTATGATGCACACCACCAGTGCGCCCTTTCTCCGGCGTACTGTGCAAGCAGTTGAATTGACGAGAGGACCTCCAAATTTACAACTTTGTCGTCTGTCGCCATGCTTATCGTTTGGCACACGCCTACATCACTGGCGACAGGGACTCTTTCCAGTGTCGACCTCGCCAAAATACGTTTGTCCTTGGAACCGCATCCTCACCCTTGTCCCTCAACCATGACAAAAAGGGACTCTTCCGAAGGCGACAAAAGACTTTTGGGAAAGCAAAAAGGCTAGAGAAGGTAGAGAAAATGATTCTTAAAGTACCTGGCAAATTCTCTCTGGAAAAGTGCACGTGTATTAAACGCAAGCATTGGATTCCCTAAAGACTTGTAGCGTTGTTCTTAAATCCTCATTTACTACTTACTTACTTATTGTTGGTGAACATTTATTATCAACAATTCTTTTTCCAATTANATTTTTATCAGTAAAAATAAATTTATAAATAAAAACTGGTGTTCGAACAACCAACAAACGGCCTGCAAAAGCTGCGGTGGACTTCAATGTATTAGTCATGGCCAGAAAGCACATTCTCAAGAAAAGTTCGATCCTACCAGTTTTATCCAATTAAAAAAAAATAATAACAATAAAATAAAAAACTTGGTGAGGGCAGTTCCCTCACATTGTTAACGATCAAAAGAAAGCAAACCAGACACACCCTGTTCATTGCCAGTTGAATATCGAAACGATTTCGCCAAAACTCCCAAAGGAGCAAAAGGAATCCCAAATACACAACACCACAACTACTACATATAAAAGAAGTGCACCACAAAGTAACAAACAAACTCACATAATCATCATATACTAAAAAGTAAACACAGTAAAGAAAAAAAGCATAAAGTAAACACATCAACAAGAAGCAGAAAGAAGACCACCATCCACAACACAAACCCTTTTTTTTCCTCTCAGTACTGCTCACCACCTTCCTCCTCCTCCTCCTCCTCACGCTCATACTCATCCTCATCATCAGCAGTCGCATCCTGATACTGCTGATACTCGGCCACCAAATCATTCATATTACTCTCAGCCTCCGTAAACTCCATCTCGTCCATCCCTTCCCCAGTATACCAGTGCAAGAAAGCCTTCCTCCTGAACATTGCGGTGAACTGTTCACTCACCCTCCTGAACATCTCCTGTATGGAAGTCGAGTTCCCCACGAACGTTGAAGCCATCCGAAGTCCCGTGGGCGCCACGTCACAAACGCTCGACTTCACGTTGTTCGGTATCCACTCCACAAAGTATGACGAGTTCTTGTTCTGGACGTTCAGCATCTGCTCGTCAACTTCTTTCGTGCTCATCTTGCCTCGGAACATGGCAGAGGCTGTTAGATAGCGGCCGTGCCGCGGGTCGGCTGCGCACATCATGTTCTTGGCATCCCACATCTGCTGAGTCAGCTCGGGGACGGTGAGGGAGATGTAGTGTTGGGAGCCGCGGGACGTGAGAGGGGCAAAACCGACCATGAAAAAATGGAGGCGGGGGAAAGGGATGAGGTTCACGGCAAGCTTCCGGAGGTCGGAGTTGAGTTGCCCCGGGAAACGGAGGCAGCACGTGACACCGCTCATTGTTGCCGAGATTAGATGGTTCAGATCGCCAACTGCAAACGATTTAGCAAAACGGGAAATTATAATCTCAAATTCCATTCCATTTGTCACATTCAAGAGAGAGATAAAAAAGGATGATGATGTGTGTACTGATGTTTATCAATTCACATGTACTTTTCCCCAATAAAAATGAAGTATATAATAACAATAGTGTCAAATTATCTCTATTGAAGCTTAATCAATAGCTAAATTCGATATAAACATCAAATAAATCACTTGATCTATGATAAAAGATAAATGACTTGATCCATGACGACAGATAGAACAAAAATGGAAGGAATAATACAAATTTCATTATTCACCCACTTAGATATTACCAACAACCAATCAGTGAATTTACTATTTTATACCCCAATCACACTCGAATTCCTTTCCCATTCGTTAAAGTTAATTTTTTACATTATTCAAATCGAAATTTGAAAGGTTGACAAGTCAGGGCTTTAGCTTTTATAAAAGGAAAAGCTGAATCTTTAAGAGGGTGACTAGTATAGTATAGTTTACACTCACAGCTTGGGGTGCTGAGCTTGAGGGTCCTGAAGCAGATGTCGTAAAGAGCTTCATTGTCGAGGACCATGCACTCGTCAGCATTCTCGACCAGCTGGTGGACAGAGAGTGTGGCGTTGTAAGGCTCAACAACGGTATCCGAGACTTTGGGTGAAGGGAAAACGGAAAAGGTAAGCATCATTCGGTCAGGATATTCTTCTCGGATTTTTGAGATTAAGAGGGTGCCCATGCCAGAGCCTGTGCCTCCACCTAGGGAGTGGCATACCTGGAATCCTGTGAAGAACAGAAAAGTTAAATGTCTGTTTTTATGAGGAAAATAATGAACGGATTCACGTGCAAAGAGAAGAGAACGGTAGATCATTTATCCCCACCATGTAATAAACGATAAAGCGCAAAAGCGAACATTTGTTATTGAACTGTAAAACCATACGATTTCATCATGACATGTCATGAGATTTAGTTACCAAATGCAACATGGCTAGCAATAAGTTTATGAATATGAGAAGTAATTATGAATGATACGCATCCATATATGAATATTCATCAAGTAAATCTAACTCACGATCTAGTAGAGGAAGATAAAAACTCAAGGATGGTAAATACTATTCATGTTATTGTTGTTGTGACCTCTCAATAAAAATCAAATGGTTGATCATAAAATCTCAATAAGCAAAATTTGTAACAAAGATAGTGACATATGGAAAGAAAAAGGAGAGCTCAAATCTGGTAAGTGTAACAACAGTTTCATTTCCTTTCATTTCCATTTGTGCAAGGACGAGATAATGCTTAATAATTGTCAGATATTGACAACTGAAGCAAGTGTCGGTTGAAGGGAATACAGTGAATCTATACTTATATAAAAAGGGATCCTATTTACTACAAATAGTATCCAAAAAAGTCAACTGCAATTAATGTTATTACTATTTACAACATGTATTTTATTTAATTATTTTATATTGAAATTAATACTATGCGATTCAATTAATGCTATTACTATTCCCATACAATCGATTTTCCTGCGAAAAAATCCCACAAAATCGGCTTTAATTTTTTGTATATTTGTAATTTCCTTCTTATTTTCTATTTGTTTTATCCCATAAAATCTATTTAGTCAACAAAATCCCATAAAATCGTTTTAAACTTTTTGTAGATTGAAATCGAAATTTCCTTCTTATCTTTTTAACAAAAAATTTATTATTTATGTATTGAAATTCTGTAATCTGGTTTCAGATTGTATCATGTAGAATATATTATAGTTATATTATCAAATCATAAAAAGATACTAAATTCATATTGTAAAAAAAATAATTCATATAATTTTATAACAATTCTACTACACTATTTAACAGTATTCATTTTTATTATATAATAAAATAATAATTAAATATTATATAGTGAACAACAATAAGTAAAACTGTTACTTTCTCTTATATCTCTTATATCAAGGGATAAATTTATATGCTAAAATTAAATTTTTATTAGTATAAATGTTTTAGTGAGATAATATATTAATTATTTTACAAGTTAGCCCTAACATGCTCATATTTAATGTTCTGGCTAAAAAAACACAAGCTGGTTAAAATGTGGAAAAAAAACTTATAATAATTCTATTGTTTTTTAGACTTAACGTTGATTAAAAGAAGTAAAAAATAGATAATAACCCTATTATATTTTAGACTTAAACGGACAAGGGTGTGAAAATAACTCATTTACTATCTATGTCTCGTGCATTGCACGGGGTACGTACTAGTTAAGCAACAAAATAATTGTTAAAATATGATGTGCTTTCAAATGAAGTTGGACCCACGAAATAATACTTCGATACTTAACAAATGACAGTATAATTCACATGACCACAAACCAAACCAGATAACATGCGTCATTATAGTTGCTGTTAGGAGGATTATGCTAATTATCATGTCTTATATTTTAGATCTCATGAGCAGCAAGCACTCAGCAGTTATAACATATTTCACATAACTCTTTTAGCAAAACAAAATTGAAGGTACAGTGTTTCAGACCCTTCGAAATTCAGCTTTGCAAAAAAAGCTCAGTTGTAAATGTGTATATTGCCAAAAGTAGTCTTAAAACAGGCTTGCTGACTAGAGATCATCTTTTAAAAGGATATTATATCTTATATGATTAAATTAATAACAATCAGGGTACCGTTTTGAAGAACAGATGTCCTTGTTCCAAATCAACCAAAATGAGCATATGAATATTATACAAAAATCACATGCTAGATCTCGCTAAACCTGAATCAAATCATATGTCAGGCAGAAACATGTGATTCGTCGTAATCCAGAATGAACATGATTGATCAAAATCCCAAGGACCCGAGAAACACTATCAAATGACAAACATCTACTTATATTTTAAGAGAGAAAATAAGAAAAAACAAAAGTACAGCGAACCTGGAAGAATTCACAGGCACAAAAGCACAAAAGGAAATATTGACAGATTACTTTAATCCTTATAAGAAAAAGGTACACTTCAAAAGGTAAACAAGCACACTGAATGTTCATACTCCTATATGTACCGATGTCTTAGACATGCACAAACAGAATTGGCAAGTATCAAACAGAAGACACCAAATAATCCACAGCGATTCACGTAGGACACAAAGCAAAGACAAAATCACCTCAACAGCGAAGGGAACAATTGAAATTCATTTAGAGGCAAAAGCCAAAATACCTTGCAAGCAATCGCAATTCTCGGCCTCCTTCCTGACAACATCGAGCACGGCGTCGATCAGCTCCGCGCCCTCCGTGTAATGCCCCTTGGCCCAGTTGTTCCCAGCGCCGGACTGCCCGAACACGAAGTTGTCGGGCCTGAAGATCTGCCCGTACGGGCCGGATCTGATGGAGTCCATGGTTCCTGGCTCCAGATCCATGAGCACCGCCCGCGGCACGTATCTCCCGCCGGACGCCTCGTTAAAGTAGACATTGATCCTCTCCAACTGCGTGTCGGACGACTCATCGCCCTTGAACTTTCCGGTCGGGTCCACGCCGTGCTCGTCGCAGATGACCTCCCAGAACTTGGACCCGATCTGGTTCCCGCACTGACCTCCTTGAATGTGCAGGATTTCTCTCATTTTTTTTTTGGCAGTTGATCTCTCTTCCTCTCAAATGGATAAATGAAGGGAGTTGCGAGGTGGTGGGTGGTTATGAATGGTGGTGTAGGGAGAGAGAAAATAGTGGGAATGGAGAGAGAGGTGAGATATTTGAAGAGGCCCGTGATTTTCTCTGCAGTGCAGTTGGGATAAAAATCGTGTCGGTAGATTATGTGTATGGTGTAAAACCAACCGAGCTCAAACTTACAATTTGACTCGTTTTTTTATATTAACGAGTCGAATTTGAGATCTAATGAGTGAATATATAGAAAATTATGTATAAATAATATTTTTGAGTTGAGGTCCGCTCATTTACTAGACGAGCTTTCAATCAGCTCTAATTTGGCTCGTTTATGAAATGTACAAACTCCAGTCTTACAATTGAAAAGAGGTTTTTAAATAAATGAATTTGATTTATTGGATAACTGAGATGAGGTTTGAAAAAAAATTAATTGTGTGAAAAATTTTATTTGATTTTAAATTTGTAAATAAATATGAGTTAAATTGTAATGATTGAAGTTGATTTATTACAAAAGTAGTAAAATAATGATTAGTAGTAAAAAAAATATAAGAGTAGGTGAATAGTTAATTTTGTTGAAATTATGTGCTAATGATTAATTTTATTATTTAATTATATTTATAATATTAGAATGGTTAAGTTGGAACAGATTTGGGTTTAATTTTGAGTAAAATGATTAGACCCAAAAAAAAAATGTCACAAGTACATAATAAATGTAGATAGAGGTGTATATAACACTCACATAAAGTGGGTCCACTTGATTTTTATTTTTGATATGACCCACTTAATGTGAGTGTTGTGTACACCTCTTGTGCAGTATTATGTACTTATAACATTTCTCAAAAAATANACTAAAAAAAAAAAATATTTATAATCGACTGTTGCTTCTAATTGAAAAGAATAATTTAGGGAGAATTACACATGTTGTACTAGATTTTGGTTGAACTTTGAATAATGAAATAACATCTAACCATAGCTTTTCTAAATAAAACTTGCCCGATGAATCTAAATTAAAACTAATCATTTTCCAATCGCATAACAAAGCCGCGAAATCCAATTTACGAGCAATTCATTTTGTTAAAAACTCAGTTGAGAGTAGTTTTTTTAATATGAAAGTGGAGAGAAGTGAGGTGGTGTGCGGGGAGGGATGGGTATGACGTGGCACACGTGAAATGAGGACAATTGAGCGCAGCTGGAAATGGGGCTCACTGGAGGTCTGTGGGGGATGCTGCAGGTGATTGGTTCCGGGTGGGGTTCATTTTAATCAGTTCTTAGGCGGGGCCCACTGACTGTCTTAGCTGTCGATATCTACAACTGTCCCACAAGTGTAAATTGTGATTGGTTCGATGAGTTTTGCATTTACAGTTTCGTTTCGTATATTTTTACTTTTAAAAGTGTTTATATACAATATACAAATATTTTAATAGCATATTCAAAATCTAATTTAATTTTAATTTAATTATATTATTATTTAATAATATCAATCAATGATCCTTACACATGATATCAACTTTAATTCACTCACATAATTTTAATTATTTATCACTTCAATCACTTGTTTACATCAAATCAACTTTAATCATTTTTTTAAATATTATTTTAATATAAAATTAAAATTTCACTAAAAACTAATCAAAGTAACTTTTTTAAAATTAGCTCTGATTAAAAAAATAAAATCAATAAATAATTGATATATTAGTAAACACGCACGTCCTAAGGAAGATTTAATTACGTGTAAGTTACACTTACACGTGCTTATAGCTGTTGGATTGACATGAAATGAATGATTATGAATTTGTCCTACAGAAGTGATGAAATTATAGACACTATTCATACAGGTAAAATTAAATTGATTTCACAAGTTTTTAACAATCAGATGTTCGCTTTTGACATCTGATGATGATCAAAATCCCAAATAGACGTGAATGTATATGATTCGAGAATTATGGGTGATCGATGATCGTTCTTGTTCTTTCCCAATATATAATGAAATTCATCACATTTTAATTTAATAATTGCCAAATTTTTGCAGGTTGAGACATAGATAATTAGTTAAAATGTACTGTCAATATGAAATCATAATTGCCAATAATTAATTTATAGGTACTATCATTGGGAAATCATAATTGCCAAATTTTGTCAGGTTGAGACATAGATTATTAATAGAGTGTTAATATTCACCGCACCCATTTTTACTATTCACCGCGCCCTTAAAATACTATTTTGCCCTTATTAAAAAATAATAATAAAAAATTCAATTTTTAAATTTTTTTTTTAATGTGGCCCAAAAAAATATGATCTTATAAATTGATGAATGTGGCCAATCACATGAATGTTATAACACAAAATTTGAAAAAAAAAAATCATAAAATTCGAACAAAATTCCAAAAAAAAAAAAAAA